TTAATTTCCCCAACATTGTGGTAAAAAAACCACACGTTTAATCCATGTTGGTGTACTACAACTACAAAAAGCATCGGTTTGTTTTCTCATCAGGAAATGCAGACCGGCTCAAACAAACGATTTTTAAATCATCATCCTCACGATCATTTAATGTATCCTATGTTCGCCGAATTTACATGAAAGCACTAATAAATGTAGTTTCATCCACTTGAGTTTACAACTACAAAAATAATCGATTTGTTTTATATCACAACCAACGGGAGGAAATTCAGCAGCTCTCACTACCGATTTTTAATCCTAATTTAATCATCATCTTCACCACGATCATTTATGTTTATGTTCGCCGAATTGACATGAAAGCACTGACAAATATGAATATACTGTAGTCAACTTCATTAAAACGTTATTAACGTGCCTAAACTCAGTAATTCACCATTTCTACGCATGACAACACACTTTGTCCGTGTTTGGCTCTCTCGCCGCACAGTGAAGCGTTCCCGCATTGACGTCACTTCCGGCTTCCCCCAAAACTTCAAAATGAGTCGAAGAAATTTCCCCGCGATGTTCGAAATTATTGATATTTATCGGAACGGTATCGCACCTTCTTTTTTAAACTGACGGTTCGAGATGACTAGTAGCCCAATATTTCGTTGCACAACAGTTGTTGGGAGGCTGTCACAGGCTCTTTAAGGCCTAACTCCAAAGAGGGACTTTTTGAAGGATAGCTACCCCAGATCTGTGCACATGTGTCTCACTGTGTCATCCAGATTGTATCAGGACATTAGTAAAACTCCCCTCGATTGGCTTCATATTGTAGTAATGCTGCTCTTCTCCTCCACTGGTTATAAACCCTTTGTAATCCCAGGTGCCTAATTTGGTAATTGCATGAAAACACCAGATGTCGAAGTGGAAGAGATTAAAATTACCCTCAGAGATCACAGTGTACTCCAAATATGCGAAGTTATTCAAGATGGATTATCCCGAAGGGTAAAAGGACAAAACTGACATACTAATTTGAGGACATATTTCTTATAACATTCATGTAGGATAGGGAAAAATCTAACATGTTCCAACACAGCTTGCTCTTCAATGAGTCTATGATGGTTTATCAAATCGCAAGAAACCCCACTGAAAAGTTAAAATGGGGAATGTGGTTTTACTGACTTTAAAATACAGATAATACACTTGCTGAATCACTGACAAAACCTTAATTTAAATGAAAGAAAAATCTTTATTATTTTACCTTATTGTTCATGACGGCTTTGAGACACTGGACAACTTTATGTTGATTCTTTTTGTCAAGTTTCTCTTGCCTATGGAAACAAAAGAGTAATGATGAACTCATGGTCTGTAATGTTCAACATAAAGACTCCAAACTGTTTGCAGGGGGTTTGAAAGTTATTGTACATTGTTATATGCGGACAAAGGATTCTAAATAAACAATTATACTGAGACAGGTACGAAATTGTATACAAATATGCATGACTGAATCCATAAACTTACTGTTTCTTGAACAGCGACCTTTCCAAAATGTCCAGCAGCAGTCCAAGACCCTCATGTCCAAAGCTCTGCACCCAACTGAAATAACAAACATCCAATCAATATCACAACAGAGCAGGACTGACAACTGACAGCAACACTGTCAGACTCATCAGCCACTGAGAAAAGCTTTGAGACAGAACACCACATGTACAATTCAGTACTTTGTGCTCAGGAAAAAAGGCAGTAGAAGTGAAAATAAGGTGGCATGGCTGATGTGAAATGTGCACTAAAATATTGTAGCCAGAGGGAAGTAGCAAATGGAGAGCAGATCCAGACACTTCATTAAGATTGACTCTCAAAATAATGAAATAAGACCAATCTTTCAAAAAAAAAGCAATAAATGTAAATCAAAACCAACTAGTTAGCAAGAATAATACTGAACTTTACTGTGCAAATGCATTTTTAAAACATTTGGACATATATCTACTGTGATAATGCAAAGATATAATTATGTTTATACAACCAAAATACTGGTTTAAAGGCCTGGATTAATATTCTGATAAAAAAAAAACAAATGGCAAAAACAACAAGAAACACATGGCAGCATAAGGATTATTAAAATAATTATGTATTATAAATATTGAACTTCTTTCTAAACAATGTAGGCACATTGTTTGTAAGAAGGTGGTTATGAACTCTGGCCTGGGCTACTAAGATCTCTCTGGATGCACATTTAATTTGACAACTGTTAGAATGATGCCAAAAGTGGGGCATGCCTTTAAATTAACCACATAACCCTTTAGTCGTTATGATTCTAGATCACATGGTTGCCTGTTCCATACCTTTCTTTTTTAGCTTACTGGTTAAGAAGAAAATGTGCCACCTTGGCCATGTTAACCCTAGTCTTTCTCCTATCATTCTCGCTGAGCACTACAGATAGGCACTGGTGTGAAGCGAGGCACAAATCGCCAAAAATCTGCAATAAATAAAAATGACTAATACTCATGATAGCTGACGACACAGAGACACCTTGTGACACCAGTGTGGTTATACCATTGTCTCACAAACCTTGTTAGCAACAGCACTGAGAGCAACAACGCATCAGACATGTTACACAGATACAATTATGAATATCTTTTTTATCATCAGTTTGGAAGAGACAACCAATTTAAAGTAACTTCTTTAGGCAAAGCAGTACGTATTCTAAAAAATTGGAGTTTATATATTTTTTTATTAATATTCGTCTATATAAAAATATGATCAATATAAACTTTAAAGCGTATGAATGAAACAGGGTTTGTGTGATAGTGATGCCTAACAATACACGTTTGCTTCATGAATAAAAATCTAATTTTGAGCCTACCTGGATTTAATCAAAACAGAATGGCAATCAAGATAAAAAATGGCAGTATAACTTTGTCCTTGTTACTGGAAATCAAATGCTGGAGATCCAATGTTTTCTCACAAAAGTGCAGGGAATGTCAGAAAGAGTAGGGACAACTTAAGAACAGAGAAGTTTGAACTCTGATTCAAGCAAGCAGCACAAAAAGGAAGACAAATCATATTGTGAGTTCAGGTGAAAATCCTTAGGGTATGCAAAACAGAGAGACAGCATGAGTAAGATTGTGAGAGACTGCACCTCCCTCCTGATTGAAACTTAAATTACATTTCTGATCATCAGCATTCAGTGTTTGTACAGTTCTAATCAACAAGCTGCATGCATGCCAGCATGAAATCTACAGAAATTCTCAAGGTGACAACATAAAATGGGAAGCTGTTATCCGAATATAATTTCTTGAAAAGCTTTATAAGATTGTAGGTTGATGCTTGTCCATTAGTTTATTCATGTTTTGTCACATTATTGTTTCAGATGGTTGAAGCTTATTCTTAGGGCTGTACCCGAATCAGAATTGTTTGGCTTGAATGGAGTTTGGCTGCTAGATTTCAGAATATGACTACTCCTTCCTGTTGTTGTTGTTGTTGTGGCATGGCAGTATAACGAGCAGCTCTAGGTCAGCTTGGAAATGCCCAGCGAGAAGGTGATTGCGGTTTTGGCCTTGAGCTGCCAGCACCCCTTGCCTAGGATGTGCCCCTTTCCCAGGGACATGGACCCAAATGCTTGCTGTGCCCTCTCTTCCCTCGTCATTATCATTACCACCAGGGATACATTATTTACAAGAGCACAAAGTTCTTCATAGATCTATTCTATAAACCTGCTCTCAAAGTACAAACCCTGACCAAAAACAATGTATGATTTGGCTTCATATTTAGATTTCTTCACACCTCGTTTTCAAGTGATTTCCATTCAATATTTTTCACCAAAAGAAGTGTGTTTGTTTTGAGTGCTGCAACTTCATGAATATGTAACGGTAGTTGATTCAAAGAAGGGTAGCATAGCAAATCTGAGGTTGGAAGGTAACCTAAAAAATGCTTAAATTATTTTAGTTTTGACTGCTATTTTTGCATGTAATTTAACATTAAGTAACCCTAACCCCGATTTGCTCAATAACATAAGGATAGCTTACTGTTGAGATGCTCTACACAGGGATCCATGTACTGTTCCAAAACAATCTCAGATCTGAAATGTCTAAAGTGTACAGTATTAAAGATTACACACATGTAACTGAGGGATTCAAGCATGTACACAATTAGTGAAGGGTTTCTTTAAAATAATCCAGGCTTTAATTCAACCTGACCTATGCTGACAAAAGGAAGACAAAATGCAGGAGAGCAGAGTGCCTCCGCATCAAAATGGTGTATGACTATTTGTGTTCATTTGTGACAGGGTCAAGAAAATAAGAGGCTGACAAAAACAGTCACTTGGATTCTGATGAAGACAGGGAAGGCTGTTGCCAAGGTAGCTAAATAATGTGGCTTCTCGTGTTTGAGAAAATAATCTATTTAGCCTACACTTCTGTCTGGGCCATGGCCCAGGCCATTCTGGTTATAGAGTACCCAAGGCAGGGGTCTTGACATGAGCTTCATTGAAATGCATAACTCAGTGGCAATGGCATGCTAGTTTTTCATCATCAATAGCTGAGGCAGAAAGTAAGGGAAAGTAATCAGTTGATCTATAGAAGGAATTATTTCAGAGGAAAAGAACAAGCCTATACTGTCAGGGTCTCCAACAACACATGTGATGGATATCGGCCTTGAAATTCTGAAGAGAAAAGTGGAAGCGGAGATGGTGACATAAGTTGCCTACCAAAGGCTTCTTGTAAAAGGCCTGACAAACTTGGACTCAGTGCCCAGAAATCAACAATAAAATAGCTGTCCACAACTGGAGATACGTCTCATCTTCTAGAACAAGAACAATCAGCCCGATGCAATAATACATACAAAAAAGATGTCTTAGCAGAAGGTCAGGAAGAGCTGGGAGAAGGCAGATAAAGATAGACAGACACTGCGCATCTCTATCGATCTGATGCATTCTGCTACAAGACACTTTTGAATCGGCCTTTGTGCCTTGCCAGAACCTGCTGGTTTTGTTCTCACACTGTGCAGATCAATTGACTGGCAACAGCATTGGGGCTTACACTGCATTATTGGTTTGGCCAATGACAATGGCATAACGTTTGTTCTAACAAGATGGCCACCCAATAGACAGGTTATTGAAAGAGAAAAAAAGGCATTACTTTGCCATTTCTATTATTAACGGAATGTTAAACAACAAAAATAAAAATAGAAATCTGCAGATGTCAGGAATGTGTAGACATTGGTCTGTAATGCAACAAAGTGTTGTTTTATCAAAGCAGTTTCAAGACTATAATGTTAGTCATAAGATGTAAAATACTAGGGGGCAATCAATTCTGGTCTGTAATAAGTGACTTAAGGGTCAAATCCATACAGTGTCTGCCTGTCTTGAAGCCCCCAATGGAGCCCATCATGGCATTGGGCTTGTGTGTTTTACAATGTGAGATGTGATCTGACCTCATGACTACTGGGTTTGTTAATGTACAGCAAGAAAGATCTGTTGTATTCTTAAAAAATCTATACGGTAAATAGGGTTGCAATTTTCATAGTAAAAGCAGTAGTAGTTTTGCAGTAGGTCATACATTGCCAATTTCCCCTCTGTGGGACTAATAAAGGGATTCTGATTCTGAAAATAATAAAAAAGTAGTATTCAGATAATAAATCAATCAATACAAATGTTGAACGTAAAAACTTGATGACTCAGTATTTATATTCATTTATTGACCCGTTTCTTTATCTTGTGCAGCTAAGTGGTTTGTATTTGACATGCCGTCTGTCTCGACTCTAAAGTAATTAGTATTTTAAATTCTGTTTGCTAATCTAGCATGCTTTGGCAGCCCTTGGGTTTCATTAGTTCCTAACATCTGGCACCCCTCCCACATCCCAAATGAGAAACTTTAATCACATTCTCTGCCTGAATGTCCTCAGTGTTTGGAGCCGTGTCATGGAAAAATTATCGGAAAACACTGTCCTTAGTTGTTCTTTGCTAGTAAAACTGCAGCACTGATTTATATCTGACTGCGACCTTATATCGTAAGCCATTAGTCATACAGATAGGACATAGAACAGACATGTTCAGTGTCATTGTGCAGCATGGTCTGGGTCGCTTCAATGTTAACATTAGTCACTGAACTACACATGCTACTTTCAAAGCCGAAACAAAAGTTTTAGTGATCCATTTCCTCCTCCAGCAGTGTTCACATTTCAGAAACATATGACCCTTTTGGTGCAAATGAGCTACTAAGCAAATCATGACACATTTGTCTTAAGTAAATCGTATTAATAATGAATTATGATTGTGTTTTAAATCTCAGGGTTGATTAAACTGCACTGTGCCCAGTAAATATTATCTACCTTCTAAAATAAATACATAAAATACACAAATGAGTGTGTCTGTTTTGCCTTTAAAATATAAATGTATGTCTGTGTTCTGTCAGATTCTTTTTTATTTTTGATAATAAACTTGGGGTTGTGTTTGCAACGAACATTAACGTTGGCGTCTCAATCTCAGAATCACATTTTTATTATTGTAATCATTAACTCGGCTCACATCGACCTGCAAAATGGTGTTGACCCATACTTAAAGATGAATTCACCATACTTAACCGTTCCTACAAAACTTGAATTAGCTCTGTTGTTTTTCCTAACAAGGACAACTAAATTACTGAAAACAATTTGAGTTCTGGAGCCAGGATGTATTTTCGGATTAGAAATAGGATGTTGATGTTTATCGATAGCAATCTGATTCTGGTAGCAGCTATCAATCTGCAACTAGGGCTGCTCAATTAAATCGTATTTTAATCGCAATTACGATTTTGGCTTGCAACGATTATGAAAACATAATCGAAATAAAACGATTATGTTTTATTCCATTTTTTATTTATAATTATTATTTTTGTATTGGTTTTTCAGTTGAATTATACTTAAAGTTCAGGGTAATCAACTGTTAAAAACATACTTTTCAACAAAAAAATTCTATAAATAGATGTTTTCAAAGTAAATGGATAATCGTTTTTAATAATCGTGATATCAATTACTGACCCAAATAATCGAGATTAGGATTTTTGCCATAATCGAGCAGCCCTATCTGCAACTGACAAGTACATCTGGTTTCTTATAGTCTTGTGCAAACAATGGCTCAAGTTTCAACGTATTTTTGTGAAAACATGTTAGTGGTCAGTCTCCCAACATGTGTATGAGATATTGTAAACTACTTGTATTTGTTATTTGTACAATGCACTATCAACTTCATTATTAATGCTACCTCTGGGATCAGAGCATAGTCACACCTCAACATCAACAGATGCAAAAAGAAGCACAGCAGTATTCTACTGAGAGGTATCATCTCAGAGAGACACCAAGAAACAGAGCAAGAGCATTAAAAAATAAGGAAAACAAATTCATCATCCCATTCCCTGGGAAAACAAAAACAGTCATAAATCAAAGAGAAGAACGGGGCGCCTTATCACAGCTAAGGTAAAGCTTGACTTCTAACAGAGTCTCAGGAGGATGCCTCCAAGGTTCCAGTCAGAGCAGCACAGTGTTGCACTCCGTTAAAGAGATTATGAACCAGAAATAAAAGATTAACTTTAAAATCGTGTCCCTAGTATA